CCCCAAAACCCCAAAACCCCAAAACCCCAAAACCCCAAAACCCCTTTACACTTGTGCAATCTTGAACTACAAATTATTCAATAATGAAGGGAGGAAGTCTCTGGGCAGGCTCCTTTACGTTCAGGCTGCCTTGGTCGAGGCGGCATGAGCTGAATAGGTCTTCTATTGTGGATTTTTGGTTTTGGAAGAGGGTTGGGTTGGGGGAGGGAGAGGGCGAAGAGGTTTTTGGGGGGTTGGAGGAGGATAGGATTGGGGTGATATTTTGTTTAAACGAGTCTAGGGTGAATTTTGGGAATGAAAACACCCATTTTGAGGCACTGTTTTGAGGAGATAGGGCTTTAATTCTTTCGGCTTCTTTCTTTAGAGTCATAAATTCTTCAGGAGGGTTCTTTGAGTCTAAGGATTGAGGAAGAAACTGAAGAGAATATTGCTCTGAAGAATTCATTGAATTTTTCCAAAATTGATCTCCTGATAAAATTTTCTTGGATTCTTCTTCACCAAAAGTACAAGTATGAGCTCCTTGACAGAACAAAGAAATTGTATCATCATTTATTGCGAGCCCATGAGCTTTGCCTTGGCAATAATAATATTGGCTGATGACTTTACCTGCTTGATCAAGAGTTCTGACATAACCATGGTATTTTCCATTAACATAAATTGCTTCAATAGTATTACTGTTGATCTTTTCTTCACAATAACCGTGCTTTATGCTATTTGCACCGTAAAAACTTTTAATAGTACCATCTAGATGATGAGCAATGATTCTTACCTTCCTCAGTTCTTATTTCTGAATCTTTAAACTGCATTATGAATTTGGATTTTCTCAGTTGGTTTTCTCTCTTTATGATTTCTTCAAGATCTTTGATGTCCTCTTGGTCATTCTCATACGTTTGTTCTGAGACATAAAAGTCTATGTCTATTTTTGTTCTGAGAACTATATTTTCTTAATAATACCAAAAGCTTCCTCCAAAGCTTCATGATCATTTCCAAATCAATTACTAAATACCAACTTCTGAGTATCTGAACTTTGAGAAAGAGGTAGCTTATGCTTGTTACAAGGATTTTTGATAAGCTCTCAGTTTTCAAAAACTATCGTCTTTGCATTATTTTCAGTACTCAAGGATAGCTTCAAAATCAGATAGAGTAATTTTGAGGTTATTCAGATGAACCACATCCTTTACATTAGTGAAGACCTGTTTACAATGTCTCAATATCTTAGTAAAACTCGAGTGGTAGTCAAGCATGAAATACTTCATAGTCTCTGGGTTTATTGCTGAAAGGAGTTTCTTCAATTCAAATATAGAGAAGTATTGCCCTTTGAGTATTGACAGACTACTTATATTATCTAACTCAATTTCTTGAATCTTGGCCAATAACCCAGGTCCATTATCTTTATTGCCTCATAAGATAACGTCTAAGAGTTTCTTTGGGAGATCTGGATTCAGTGGTTTGATATTCTTAGAAGGAGCTTCTGTACTCATTCATTTCGGTACTGTTGGTTGCACATTCTTCGAATTTGATTTTTGCTCCTCTTTCTCTTTTGAGTTAAGGTCTTTTTTGTTAATTTGTTTATTTTTGAGCTCAATTTCTCTTTCTGCATCGTTTCTTCTTGTGCTTGAACCAGTGTTTACTAGAGGTTTATTATCAGGTAGCTTTTTGATTTCTTCTTCCTTTTTTGTTTTAGAGTTATGAATTTGTGAAGTGTTTCCATGGTTTACCTTATGTTTATTTGAGCATTCTACGAAATAGTTTTGAGAGGATTTCTGAGATTCCTTGTTTTTGGAATGATTTCTTTTTAAAAAAGTGTTTGGATCTTTTCTAAAATTAAGATAATATTTAATCTGTGTCAAGACCACAAAAAAGTTAAGCATGAGTGTTAACTTCTTCTTACATTTTAATAGTGCTAGTATCTGCTTTCTTACTGTTAAAACAACCCATTTTACCAAAATATTTATCATTCAACAATGTAACAAATTAAAGGGGTTTTGGGGTTTTGGGGTTTTGGGG